GGGAAGAACGAGGTCGTGGTGTCGCACTGTTCCGACGGAGGCCAGCCATGAAGGCCGGGCCGACATGGTTATCTGCAAAGGCCTGCTTCCGGAAGAGGACCCTCCGCCAGGTGTGCGTGCTGGCTGGGACAAAGCCAGCAGTCCCGGCGTGGCCGGGCGTCTGCGAGGAGACTGGCCGGGCGGCGAAAGACATGCGTGAGGACATGCTTTCCGTGGGGGTGGGAATATCGATCTATCTATGTGTCTTGCTGGGTGGGTGGGTGGGTGTCCCCAGACATGTGTGTGCACAGACGCGGGGGGGGGGGCAGGGACAGAGGCACGAGCACGAGCACGAGCACGAGCGCGAGCACGAGCACGAGCGCGAGCGCGAGCGGGAGGAGGGGGGGTTCCGGTGGCCCAAGACAGCGGCTCGGTGTCTCGGGCACAGAGAAGAGGGAACGAGAGGGTAGCAAGGGCTGGCGCGGGGGAGGGGGGGGGGGCGGGAGGACAGAAGGCGACGGTCAGTCAGGGCAGCGGGGGGGGAGGGGGATCTCGCGAACCGCCCCGCAGGAGCACGGGGGCGCACGATCAAAAAGGGACAACTCCTCCAAAATGTGCCGTGAGCGGGCCGTAGTGGATGATCATGTGCTATGGGCGGCTTTCGCGAGCGCCCAATTAATAAGGATGTGCTGCTTTGCCCACGATCGCTTGCCAGTGGCCGCTGTTTCTCGCTTCGGTCGTGGGGGGGGGGGGGGGGGGGGGGGAGGAATCTGGCGGGTATAAAAGGACCTGTATATCCGACGTGAGAGATCTCATGTCCCAGCAGGATATCCCAGCCACTTTCCGCCATACATAACCGCATCTCCGCTCCTCCTCACACACTTCCCACCCTCTCCTCTCCTTCCCTCCCTCCCTCCCTCCCTCCCTCCCTCCCTCTCTCTCTGTCTCTCGCTCCCGCACACGCGCGGGTCTACCCTTTCTCCGCCGCTCCTCTCCGGAAGTCCAGAAAGGTGATGTCTGTGCGCACCCTCTCGCCGAGGATGCGACCCGCGTCCCCCCTGCGTAGCCCCCGTCACGCACTCCGCTGCGGCATTCGCCGGTCAGCTCGCCACCGGCATCGGCCACGCAGATCCCCCCTGCGCCAATTGCCCCTCAGGACGCTGCTCCTGCTCGTGCTGCGCCTCCTGGGACCGCCGCGGTCCCGGCAACAAGGGAAGCCCCCGGCCGCCACCAGAGCCCCGGGATGCTGCCCGTGCGCGAGATTGGCGAAAGGCCGGCGACTGCCGCCGCTCCGCCCGGTCTCCGAGAAAGTACCAACCCATGTGTCGCGCTCCTCGGGGGCCCCGCCGCGCCTCCGCTGGAAGCTGAAGGTCGCCATGAAAATGAGACAAAAATGAGGAATTCGCCAGAGGTGCCAACGCGACAGTGGGAGCCCAAGGGGCGCATTTCTGGCGTTGCACCGTTGTCAAGGGCGTCCCTTGGCGCGGCCAGGGGGAGGGGGGGGGGGGCTTTTTTCCGCCTCTCGGGGGGGGGACCACTTTCTTGCTCCAGAGCCCCGCCATGCAGGGAGCTGGAGGCCCGTCTAAGGCTAGGATGAGAGAGAGAGAGAGAGAGAGAGAGAGAGAGAGAGGGCGGGAAAGGCCAAGCGGTGAGCAGCCTCGCGGTGTGGGTCAAGAGTAGCCGGGCCCGCGGGAGAGCAAGTGGTGGGGCGGAGGGGTGGCCGTGACCATTCCGGACTGGCGACCGAGCCGGGGTCCGGCGGGACACGGCCTCCCGGCCAGGAGGGGCGGGAAATAGGGGCACCGTTTCCTCAGTCACACGGCCCTGCGGGCACCCGTGGGAGGGGGAAGCCTCGGTGAGCGCGCTTGCGAGCGTGTTTGTGTGGGTGTGGGTGCGAGTGCGCGGCTGCCCTGCGTGTGCACGTGTGTAGGCGTGGACGTGGGGGGCGCCCCGGGGCAGGCGGGCCGTTGTCTGTACGTGGGGGTGCACCCCTGCGGGTGTCCATGGGTGCGTGGCCGCCATGGTGTGCGCAAGTGCCCCGGTGGCCGGAGGTGTCGCAGGGGAGGTCGGGGGGGGGGGGGGCGGAGGGCGTGGGCTGGAATACAGGCGGCCTGGATACACCGGCCCCAACAAGGCCCCCCCTCTCTGGGCGGGGCGGGGGGGGGGGGGGCCGCGTGTGCACGGGCGTCTCTCGGTGACGGGCCTTTCTCGGAAGGAAACCCGGGCGGCAGGCTCGGTGAAACAAGCGAATTCGCTGATCGGGACGCCCCCCGCGGGGGCCCGACACCCGGGCGAACTCCCGGTCCGCCTACGGGGCTGAGCCAGCGCCCGGCGGAACCTTCTCGCGCGGGCTCCTCTCGGCGCAGGGTGGCAGCGCCGAGGAGGCGGGGG